GTTCGTCAATATTGTGCATAAGCTCTTGAAGCTCTGGATCATCATCATCTACCGGTAATGGAGGAGCTCTTGAAGAGCTAGCTTTCGGTGTTTTCTCAAAGGATCGAACCCATTGATCCTAATCCACGGACCATCCCGATTTCTTTAAGGATGTGAGATTTATTTGGTTTTGGAGAAGGATGGGAATATCAAGCGTGACTCTAAGCCCGAGTTTGATATACAAATTACTAAGGAGACAACAACAAACTAAAGTTTCTACATTTTTGGTTGAGCCAGTGTTTACGATATCTACTAATTCACCGAAAATGATCTGTCGCAAATTTATTTTCTTGTTATGTTGGATACAATGGAACCACCATTAATCTAAGACTCTAAAAGAGAGTACCTAACTCTGGATGGTCTAAACCACCAAGAGATCATCAAGTGAAGGAATCGCTCGTGATGAGTTATTAAGGTACTAGCACTAGCTTTGGCTTTATAAGGTGTAGCCACCATCTCTTTCTCGTTATCTAAACCTTTATTGTCTAGTCCAAAGGTGTTAGCGATACTGTCAGAGTCAATATAAACGAATTGACCTAGAAGATAGGATTGAATTCCTATGGTTTCAATTCAACACTTGTTTTGGATACATACCGTATTAGAATAGAAAATGCGGATTAATTGGTGATAGATAATCGGTTTAAGGTGAAAAAGTTTATCAAATTTCCAGGATGTAAGGGTAGGAAGATATTGAAAATTTATATCAATCATTGCTTGCATAAAGGGAATCCGCTATTCCCGGATTTTATATGACTCAAAAGAATTATGTTACATATGGTAGAGATCTGGTCTACGACCGGGCACATTAAAACAGGAGTTTATAATGGTCATATTCGGGTCGTTTGGATTTGGATTTTGAGGAGGAGGTTGGTTTTGGTTTGAACACTAGATGACGACCTAGGGCGTTTAGAGTGAGACATGGTTCAAGAAATCGGAATAGGGTAGATACCTACAATTTTAAAACATATGTATGCAACAATATCAATCCGAAAACTCAAATGAGCCCTCAATATTTCAAGGTTCTCTAAAATAAATCCTAATGAGAAATTTTGAAAACTAAGTTTGAAAACAATGTATCAAAATAAATATGGAGTTTTCAAAACAATATAATTAAATCAAAAACAACAATTTTAAAATCAAAACATTTTTTTATTATTTCATTGTGTATTTTTGATAAAATTTGTTGGAGAATCTAGTTTAGAAGCATCATATAATCAATGCCCGATATAAGGTTCAACCTAGAACTAATCAAAAATAGTCCTAAGTTCAAAATCATTAAAATATGGATTTTAGAAAAATTACCTTGAAAATTGGGATTGATTGGAATGTAGTGTTATTTGCACAAATTTTTTGATACAAGCAGGATCAAGAGATGAAGTACGAACGAATTCTGACTAAAATCGTTGGTTTTGGAGCAATTTTGAGAGTAGAGAGTGAGAGAGAGAGGGAACGGCGGAAAGAGTGTTTATGTTTGGGTTTTGAGAAAATGAGAGATTTTTAAGTATTTAAGCCTAAAACCCGACGAGTGTATCGGTACACTGCATAGTGTATCGATGCACATTCAAGGAATGCATTAGTGCACCTTTATAGTGTATCGATGCATATTCAAAGGATGAATCGGTACACTTTCATAGTGTATCGATGCACAGTGCAGAAAAATGTTAAAATCCGTTTTTAAACACTCAAAATGCTAAATTAATTAGCTCTAGTGGTATTGGCAACTCAAATATAAAAAATTAACAATGTTCAATCAAATAAGACTAGCCTTAAATTTTATTTGAACATACAAATAATTTTCACTAAGAATCATAAACTCCCCCTAACTATTAGCAAAGAATGCAATCAAAAAAATTATTTTTATAAGCATTTTTCAAAACTGATTAAAAGTGTTAAACCTAATTCTCTTCTAAGTGTCCAAAATCTTTCTTTATCTAATGGTTTTGTAAAAATATCCGCTAATTGATGCAAAGTATCAACATATTCTAGAATTATATCTCCTTTAGTGACATGATCTCTAATGAAATGATGTCTAATTTCAATGTGCTTAGTTCTAGAGTGTTGGATGGGATTTTTAGTGAGACAAATAGCACTAGTATTGTCACACTTGATAGGTATCATACTAACCTCAACTCCATAATCTAAAAGTTGTTGTTTCATCTATAAAACTTATACAAACAATTATCGGCTGAAATGTATTCCGCTTCAGTGGTAGATAATGCAACACAATTTTGTTTCTTTGAAAACCATGAAATCAGCATATTTCCTAGGAATTAGAAAGTATCCGAGGTGCTTTTCCTATCTATTTTGCATCCTCCGTAATCCGCATAAGAGAAGGCATGTACGCTAAAGCTAGAGTCTATAGGATACCAAAGTCCAAAACTAGGAGTGTCCTTAAGGTATCTAAAGATCCTCTTAATGGCTTTTAGATGTGATTCCTTAGGGCATGATTAAAATCTAGCACATAAGCAAACACTAAACATAATGTTCGGTCTACTTGCGGTTAGATAAAGCAAAGAGCCAATCATTGACCTATACAATTTAACATCTACACATTTAACTCTTTCATCTTTGTCAAGCTTCGTAGATGAGCACATTGGAGTGGCTTGGGGTTTTCCATCTTTCAATCCAAACTTTCTGAGCATATCCTTGACGTATTTTGGTTGATTGATGAAGATGCCATCTTTTCTTTGCTTGATTTGGAGTCCCAAGAAAAATGAGAGCTCCCCCATCATGCTCATCTCGAATTCACTCTGCATTAGCTTAGAAAATTCTTGGCAAAGAGCATCATTAATAGAACCAAATATTATATCATCAACATAAATTTGAACTACTAATAAATATTTACCTTTATGCTTTAAAAATAATGTAGTGTAAACCTTCCCTTTTGAAAAACCTTTTTCTATTAAAAAATTTAACAATCTTTCATACCAAGCTCTAGGAGCTTGTTTTAAACCATAAAGCGCTTTTGTCAATTTACAAACATGATCTGGAAATTTTGAATCTTCAAAACCAGGAGGTTGTTCCATGTACACTTCTTCTTTTATAAAACCATTTAAAAATGCACTTGAAGTTACATGGGTAAGTACCTTGTTAACTGAGCTTGGGTTGAAGCAGCATGGGAAATTAGTGATATGGTGTGATAATACAGGAGCAGTGACAATGAGTGCCAACCCAGTTTACCATGCACAATCGAAACATGTTGATATTGATGTGCATTTTATACGTGAGAAGGTGGTTGCTCAACAATTATGTATGAACTATGTGCCTGCAGCTCATCAAGTGGCCGATGGCTTCACTAAACCATTGACTAAGGCAGCATTTGAAGTATTTTGAGGGAAGATTGGGGTACAAGTGTGTTCAAGGTCAGAAGAGGAGAAGAACAAGAAGTAGAGGGAATGTTAGCATGATAAATTAGTTGTTAATATTGTGGTGTGTACGAGCTCATACTGCATGGGATCATTAGTAGTGTAGTTAGAAGCTTCATGAAGTTGAAGTTGTTATAGCAGCTAAGGTTGTTAGGATGTTAGTTTGGTTAGTTGTTTAGTTAAGGTTGTTACATTAGTTGTTAGGAGCTGCCGCAGTATATAAGCAGCATCAATCTTGTATTCATGGTAGAGTTCTAATATTCAATATACAAAACTATATTCATTTACTACATTCCCAATAATCACATTCATTAGGGAGATCATAATCTTTTTACCCAATTGTAACTTCCACATTTGTACTACTATGAATCCATGATGATATAAGTTTATGTTTTAGTCATCAACTAATTTCTCGTCATTGAAGTTTGTCGAGTTTGTAGATCGATAAGTATGTATGATGGTGATGGTCCTGGTGGTGGGGTCTTATATAATTAGTGTGAACATGTAGTATGATCATATTCATTACGAGAAATCATAATATTTTTACCAATTTTTAAGTTCCACACGTATGATGGTGACGGATGTGTTCTTATTCAAGATATTATACGGGATGAGAAGCAATGGCCATTAATGCCTCCGTTATCGGAATCGTGTTTTGCGAATTCCGAGTTACCATGGAAACTGTGTTTTCGGTCATTTATGATTTGTGTCGTTTCTACAATTCAACAGGGCCTAACAGTACCATAAACGGTCAGGGTTGATCACTGTGGAAGAAGTATCGTCATAAGCTACTCAACCACACCAAGGGCCAGCTTGTGCAGATTGTGGTCTATCGGCATTGTAATTGCCGAATACTACCGTCATGGCTGAAAGAATTCTACGGTCCGGAACACCATACCGTCAAGGCTCCTTTACATGAAGTGCCGAATTCTGATGGGATCGACCCCGGTAAGTAGGAACAAAATGTGTTGAGAATTTGGCTCAAATCTATGCCTCTGTACCGCATTTCAGTTTGTTGATTTGCTCTGCAGATACAAAGGATTAGTTCATTCTGAATGTGACTGATTGATAAACATTTGCAGTAATCGAGGACTGCTACATAAGCATCGGAGACGATGTAATTGCAGTAAAGAGTGGGTGGGATCAGTATGTAGATACTGTCCGAGAGACAGATTACAACGATCACCGTGACGATGATTTGCACTTGAAAGCCCTCCCTATAGTTAAGGAGTCCGTGTTACCGTTGGTATACACCGTAGAGATGATATCCCGAACGGAAACGTGACGTTTAGGGATGTGTCAGTAAGGTTAACGTATAAGAAGCACATATTCCAGTGTGGCTTCGTTCAAGGCCGCGTAATCGCCACCGTGTTTTCACTTTTCAACAGTAAATTTTTTCTTTCTCCCAATTTTCTTTCTATTTTACCAAATAAAGTTGAAGTGCCCTTTAGAGACTAAAGTGTAAATTAACACTTTGATCTAAAAGTAAAGGTAATATCAGGTAGCAATCATATTTCAAACTTTCCAACAAAATCAAAATCCTTTTGCTTAAGCTTTTAAAAATGAACAAAAATGAAAAAAAAAGCATAAGAAATGCAAAAAGGACATTTCTTATCAAATTTCACATCTTCTCATTACAGCATATATGCCCCAACTCTTCAAATTCGAACAAAATTTTCATTTGTTTCTATTTATTTCTTCTTATTCTAAATTAAGATCGTGAAAACTAAACTAATTTATTAATCCTATCATAAATTGTATGATATTTTCCCTATAATTTATATTCAGCTGGTTTGATCAAAGGCTAAATTGCAAGAATCCCAGTGGAGAAAATCTGCCCGGAATTATTATCAAAATTCAAGCTTGAACTTTTCCCAGATTTCGAAGCTTCTGATTTGCATCTCTCTTTCCTCTCATCAATCATTATCTGTGTTGCTCTACACTCGGAACTACAGAAACCCTTCTCCCCTCTGCAAAATTACATCATTCAAACAATCGAAACAACCAAAAAATTATTATAAAAAGGATTTTTTGCTCATAGTTCATGGATTCATGGATCATATTTCTTACCCGTACATGTATATGTCCTGTCCATGCAACTTTTTCTTGCAAAGATGACAAGAACTGAGAAAATACGAGGTTGGGTATTCTTCACCTTCAACGAATCTCTCCACCGCTGAAGACGAAGATTTAGGCGACGGTGTTTCCTTAATTGCTCCGAATAAGAACCAATTTCTGTCATGTCTTTGTTCTTCATTAAAATACACCTTGGTCGATGATTTCCCATGTCCGTGATGGCTTATCACAAACGTATAATCTTCCGAATTATCATTCATCTCCAACCCCTCGAATCCTCCGATCAGTCCACCTTTTCCGATCGCCTCCGTCGGCCGATTCGAGCTCCGAATAGATTTCTCCATCGAAGCAATGATTCCGAGGCCAACACCACCGGCGTCGTACCAAGTTAAACCTCTCGGCGACGGGGTTTTAAGATCTAATGGACCTTTGGGGCTTCTTATCGAATCCCAAAAGGCTGATTTGTGGGTGAGATGAGTAGCTCCGGCAAGTTTCCGATCAAGGGTCGAACTCTCTTCCCTAACATGGCTCAAGGAAGAAGAATCAAAGTGATTGTTTGATGGAAAGGAGTGGAAATGAGGGTTGTTTTTATAAAATCTTTTTTCCAAGCAAAAAGCTAAAGAGTTAAGAAATGCATGATGATGGTATGGTTGGGAGACAGCCCATGGTTTAGTTGTTTGGAGCTATGTGAATGATGATTGTTATTTTGGGCTACTATGGAAAGTAATTATATCGGATAAAATATACTATAGGGCACTCAACTAATTACTTTTTTATAAATATAAAATAATATTTCTTCAAAAAAAATTAAATTATTTAATAAAAATATTTATATATTCAAAATAATAATAATTTTTTAATTATTGAAACTATTTAATTCATGTTAATTAATGAAATTTTAAATATTATAAAATGATCATTAAATTTATCAAATTGTTATAAAATGTCTATTGGATCTTTTGAGTAACCATAATAATTCAAATAAATATTATTCTTTTTTGTAAGTTTTTAAATTATGATAATTGCATCCAAAGGGTTTATATATATGGTTAATAATTAAAAAGATTCTTATAAAATAATATTTAAATTGAAAAGAAATATATGTAAAATTTATAATTAACAAAACACGTAGGATGTATTGCTATGTTTTTTCTTTTCAGTTTTCTATAAAGGGTCACTTTTGAAGTGGGACTCAAACCCTATAATGTCTTTATCTAATTGTTGAGACCTGATCTCGAGGGCAATGGACCCCAGACGTGGGGCCACTGCACTCACACCACTATAAAAGATTCCTCGGTCATCTTGACCGTTGATGCTCAGATACGTGGTGTAGATCTACGGGAGATGGATCCTTTCAATTATTGCTGAAACCACCAAGTTTTTTTTCCTTGATTGATAGCCCATTGAATTCGAGGCCCACAATTTTTGGCAGTGAAAGGGTTTGGGATATGGGTGTGCAAATCCGGTACCTGAATTTCCGATATTCGATTTTTGGGTATTTGAAATTTTCAGGTCGGTGATTTTTTTGGTTCTTATCATGATTTGGTTGTTGTCGGTACCCGGTAATTAGGTATCCAAATTTTGCGGGTATCTGGTTTTTTATGTTTTATTTTTAAATTATTAATTTAAAAAATATATACATAAAATTTAAAAGTTCGAAATATAAAATCTATAATCTATAATATAATAATTCATTATATATATATAAATTAAAAACTAACCGGGTAACCGAAAAAATTAGATTTTGTGACCCGGGCTCGACCCAGAAAATATCAAGCCGGATACTCGATCAGGCAGGATATTTTTTTAAAAAAATTACCTGATTTTTTTAGGACTGATTGACGGGTCAGGCCAACCAGGCCTACAGTTTTGCACGTACGAGTCCACTGAAAAAGTGTTTGTTTCCTTTGTTATGTTATTCAACTATTCTTATCATTTATTTACATTGTTTTTAAATTGGTCTTCAATTTTTTTAAATATTATAATTTCATCTTCAGTGTATAAATTTTATTTTAAATTATTCCCTAAATTTTGAATATTCTAATTTATCCATATATTATGACCCTCATTCTAAATTGGTCTATGAACTTTTGAATCTTCTATTTTTATCTTTAAATTCATTCAAATATGTAATTTATTTTAACCATAATATAACTTAAATTTTAAATTTTCAAACATATAATAATATAGCTTGGCATGATAGTCTTATTAACAAGTGATCTGATCAACATATATCGAGAGTTTAGGGATGAAATTAGAATGTTCAAAATTTTGAGGGCTAGTATAAAATGAAAAACATAATTAGAAGATAAAATTAAAATATTTAAAAGTTTAATGACTAACTCAAAATGAGATTCTTAATTTGAGGATGCATAATACAATTAACTCAAAATATTCAAATATTTTTATTAGTCCGGGTGAATATAAAGTTGTATATGTTTAAAGGGTTTCAACCATTTAATATTAAACGTTTATACTTTGCATACGTGATACTCGAACCTAGAACCTCAAGAATAATTTTTAACCGCTAAAATCATTTTATTTGTATAAAAAAATATAATACCTAAAGGAAATTTAGGTGGAAAAGTAATAAATATATATTATATATATATCAAGGGAAATATATAATTAGTAAATATTACAAAGATTGAGAAAATAACCTCAGTGACCAAAAATGCCTTATAATATACGATTTTAACCAACTTTTTTTGGATTTGCCAAAATGACCAACTAAATCGTAATGCGATCGATAATTCGCAACGCGATCTCTGGTATCGCAAATCAGTTTCCAGATTCGCAACGCGATTCTGACTATCGCATTGCGATTTCCCAAATTCGCGTTGCGATTTTCCTAATTCGCAATGCGAATACGTAAATCGCAACGCGAATTTGGAAAATCGCAATTAGATTACGTAAATCGCAATGCGAATACGTAAATCGCAATGCGATTACGTAAATCGCAATGCGATTACGTAAATCGCAATGCGAATCTGACTACCGCAATGCGATTTACATAGCGTCATTCGTATTAACGCGTATTTTTTTTTCAAATTCCAAACACGAATATATTAATATATCGGAACACTGAACCGTCCATACTATATCCCGTAATCGCAACTCATAACCTAAAACCCTAAATCACAACTCAGTCTCATCTCCATCTCTCACTCTCTAAGGCGATATCCGTCCCCATCTCCGACGAAATCAGTCCCCACGACGATAACAGTCTCCATCTCCGACAAAATCATTCACGGTCAGAAATGGAAAATCAACCAAATCAACCACCGAGGGTTAGTTTTTTTAATTATTTTTATTTTGAAATTTTTGCATTATTATTAGGTTTTTCATATTGAAATTGATGATAAGTTTACTGGTGTTTTCAATAATAGATTAACCATTTGACTTAGATTGCTTATTATATTCATTCGATTACTGCCAATACTGCTAAACTGTTTAGTCTTTAACCCTGTGAAGTTAGTATTTGTCTTTGTTTTGTCTTTTGGTTGAAGTAATGCAATCCATTCAAGTTTCTTTCAATTTTAGTATTTGAAACCGAGAATGACTATCGCAATGCGATTCTGTCGTTGCGATTTTCATTTCGCGTTGCGATAGTCAAATTCACGTTGCGATAGTCATTTTCGTGTTGCGATTTTCATTTTCGTGTTGCGATTTTCATTTTCGTGTTACGATTTAAAGTTTCAGAAACTATTCTTCTTCTGCAAATTGAAACTTGAATGAATTGCATTACTTCAACCAAAAAACAAATACTAAATTCACAGTGTTGCAAATTTAAGTTTGAAGAATAAACTACTACTCTTTATGTTTATTGTTCATATCTTCACAGTGTAGTTTTTGGTATATCTAAATTGGTATGTTTATTTACAGAACTTTTATTCGACTCAATTGACCTTAAGAAATAAAGTAAGCCTGGCCAAAACAATTGCGTCGAAGCTTTCACCTGCACAAAGAAAAATATTTGAGGATACTTGCTTCGGGCCATGGCTGAAAGTACAACATCCGGGTGGAGATGCTATGTTGACCCATCTGTTTCTTCAAACCATGACTAGCGATCTACCAGAGACTATACAACGTCGTAATGAAGATATATGGTTTGATTTTCCACCGACGTATACGTGTTTTGGGCGGGAGGAGTTTTGCTTAATCACCGGTCTACGCTTCGGACACGATGATGTAGATCGGTACACTAGACATATTACCCGCCTATCATGGTTTTTCGGAGTTTTTCCTGAGCTGTCAACGGAGAAGTCGAATTTACACGTGGAAGACTTGACGAGATTATTGAATAAGAAAGATGGTTTTACTCGGATGGATGACGTCGATGTTGTCCGAGTATGCCTGCTATTACTTTTGCAAGCCGACCTTTTAGGCAGAGAGGCCCGACAACCTATTCCTAATGATCTAATTAAATTGGTAGAGGACCTAAATGCATGGAACCTATTTCTGTGGGGTTCGTATCTATGGAGAGCTACATGGAATAAGTTGTCGTCTGCCTGTAATGATCGGAAAAGTTTGCGTGGCGATGGTTCCAAATACACTTTGTCAGGCTTTATTTGGGCCTTTAAGGTAATAATTTTTATATAATGTTTCCAAAATTATAATTAATTCTTTAATAATTACTAATGTTTGTTATTATATTGTTTGTAGATTTGGATATTTGAGGCCTTTCCCGCCATGCAGACATATGCATTAAAAACTTCTAATGATATTCCTAGGGTTACTTCCTGGAATAGAAAAATGTCCTTGCAGCAATGGGAAGGTTTACTACCGTATACTACAATAAATAATGTAAGTTAACACAAATACTATCATATGTTTATAAACAAGTTATTACTAGTACACGTTTAACTTTATTTGAGCTTTTATATTGTTAGGAGGCCAACACTCCATTACAGAGGCTGACACCCACGGAAGCTGAGCTTGCCACTGATTGGTGGCAAGCTAGTAAGCATTTATTTATGGCACGGATGATGAGCAGCCACCACTTCGAGAGCCATCACCTCACCCAGAGCCATCACCTGATTGACCCGAATATACACCTCCACAAAGAGAGTCATCACCTATTTTGTCACATCATCGAGCCTCTTCTCCACCATCACCTAATGATAGGCGACCGGTAAAGATGCCACGATGTTTATCTCCCTGTTCTCCACCTCCACCTCCACGGGATGAGTTAGGGGAGTAACGTAATGAGGTCAATGCCTTGCGTGAGGAGGTCGGTACTTTACGCGATGATAATGGTGCATGGCGTGTTGAGGTGTCTACTTTACGTGGTGAGGTAACAGCTCTACGTGAGATTGTAGCATCGTTGCAGAATGAGGTTCATACTATACGCAACGAGGTAAGTTTAATATTTTTCATATTTAACTTGATGATAAATTTACTCGTAATTTCACTTAGATTGCTTAGTAAATTCATTCGGTTGTTGCCAATATTATTTAACTGTTTATTCTTTAACCCTGTGAAGTTAGTATTTGTTTTTGGTTGTCTTTTGGTTGAAGTAATGCAATCCATTCAAGTTTCAATTTGCAGAAGAATAATAGTTTACTATCGCAATGCAAAAATGACTATCGCAACGAGAGAATCGCAATGCGAAAATGACTATCGCAATGCGAATTTGACTATCGCAACGAAAGAATCGCAATGCGAAATGAAAATCG